TGAGTTCCCACCTGAGCCCAGGCCCTGCTGATCCGTGCAGCTCCACGGCTCCGGCCCAGTGAGCCACATCCACAGCCTGCCCGGAGCAGCGAGAGGGAGGCAGTGGGTCTGAATGAAGGTGTTTCACAGCCCAGCACCAAGGGCAGGGTGAGCTGTGACCCCGGGGCTGTGGCAGCTCTGGGCTCACCCAGCTGGAGCAGAGGGGCAGTTACAGCAAGGGAGCTGCAGCAAGGGAAGTGCAGGAGTCAATATTCATCCATATATTCATGATCTGTAGGCTCGAGTGCTGTGACGCTCATTAGCTAGGCATGACCTTAAAAACTGCAGTTGATTGAGAACACGGCAGCCCATCTGCTTGGCAACATGGGCTGCTGGGGGCCTCACCCCAGCACTGCCCCCTGCACTGCTGCTCTGCTCTTTGTCTGAATACAGAGCCGAGGGCACAGACTTCCCCTCCAAACCCTTTGCTGGGGCTGAGACAGGGCATTCCCAACTCTTCCTCTCCCAGGAGCACAGGGAGTGATATCTGTGTGTACAGGACACGGAGCTTACTCCATGTCCCAGCTCCAGCTCTGTGCAGAAAACTTCCTCCTTCTCCCTCTCACCCCAAAATAAGCAGCAACCACAATCCTGGGTGCCTGGAAAACTCCATCTTCCACGTGCCCCTGCACAGAGCTCACGCCGTGAGCTCCCTTCAGTTGGGGTGCTGGCAGTACCCCCCAACAGCTCGACAGGGACGGCCTGCACGTAACAAGGACAGTGCGCTGAGGCCAGTGCCGAGGTGTTCCCTCCACTGGGGTGAAACACCTCTCCCAGCTGTCCTCTCTGTACAGGAGAGTGAGCAAATTCATGAATGAAAACTCACAGTTTCCTGCTCTGTGAGGAGGGGACAACAGGCCTCTTCCCCTTTTTCTGTACCGCCCCACCCTGGCTTCAAGTGACCAAAGAAATGAATGAGAACTGTCTGCTGCCACTTCATCATTTCAAGCACACAACCACCAGGGAAGAGGAAGCAGTGTTCAGTTTTCTGTCCATGTGAAAAATCCTTCTGCTCCTTCCTCCAGACACCTTCCTAAGCCTGTTTTTGAGCACCTCTTCTTCTTTAAAAGAAAACGTGTCTTTCTTCTAAGCAATTAAACTCTATAAAAAAGGCCATTTTCCCCATCATAGTTTCCCATCTCCGCTTTCCTGGATGGCAATCACATACTCCAGATCTCATGCTGGGGAGGATATTCTGCCACTGGTCACATCTGGTTCCCTGATGAGATCCACAGGCGGCGGGGCTGGAGCGCTGCCTGGGTCACGTGGCAGCCCTCGGTTGCCTTATCTTCCCCGAGACCAGCGCTTTTTAACCCCCTGGGTTGTGTTTCTGCCCTCTCTGAGCACACTTATCAGTTAGAGACTAAACTGCTGCACGAACGCTCATGAGATCAGTCCACACATCTTAACCACGGTAAGAAAGAGGTGTTTCTGTGAGCAATCTGGCGGAGAGATTGTGCGCTGCCTTTCCCCTCGTTCCATGCTGGAATGCATTCCTGCAGCACTAATGCCTCCTCCGGGACCCCAGCCCTGCCGAAAGCCGAGGCTCGGGCTGCGGCCGCTCCACGGAGCTCAGCCTGCTCCAGGGATGTGAGGGGACACGCTGCAGCTCTGCTGGGACAGGGCACCACAGCCTGCCTGCTCCAGCTGACCCTCCTCAAACACAACTGTCCTCCTTTGAGGAAGAAGGTCATTTTTTGAGGGTTTTTTTGTTGCTTTTTTTCCCCCCACGAAAATACCTTCGAGCAGAGTCTGCTCAGTGTGTGCTATTAGGAATGGAAAATAAATAAGTCAATAGGCATATATTAAGTCAGTAGGGCCAGGAATTCATCGATAACAGACTGAGGATGAAGGATACAGTGACAGTTGCATTTAGCTCTCAGAATAAAGTAAATCAATCAAATTGACTGTATGTTGATTCAAAATCCTTAAAGATTTGGGTCAAGATCGTTCTAGTTTTCCCAAAACGGACTTGTTACTGGGAATCTTCATACCACAAGTAGTGCAGGAATGTTGCTGTTCAGTCTTCTCAGCCCCCACGGACACTCTGTGCTCGCTCCCTGTGCCTGGCTCTGTTGGAACAATTCCCATGAAGTGGCCCCGCTGCCCTGGGTCAGTGCTACAGCGTGGGGCTGGGAACAGTGAGGAGGTGCTGGGTGCTCTTCAGCCACCTCCGTACTGGCCACGAATGCTTTAGAGGCATAAAAGACTATTTCTTCTTATTTTAGGTTAAAAATTAGGTTATTTAAAATACTATTATTTATGTACTTCTCCATTCCTCGCAGGCCTGCAGTAACTACTGAGAACCCCTTTGGACAGTTGTATTAGTGGGATTTTAAGTCTTGTAGGTTAAACTGTACATCAACCCATCCTTGACCTGTATAAAATAATTAACTGATTAAATGGAATGGGTAGCAGGGTCTGTGAATGGTGCAACCCTCATTTAGATGGTGCATAAAATGTGTTTCTTACACTTCAGGAGACTTGATCTCTGACTGTTCTCACAGGGACAGAAACAAGAAAGAAATAAACATCTTCTGAAAGTTCTCACTTGAGGGGTTGTTTAGAAGAGAATTTCACACAGAACCACAGCACAGATATGAAAGAGAGTCTATTTCTGTCAAGACTTAATTGAGGAAATTTAATTTTCTTTCTTAACTGCATTGCTGTTGATAATTTAAATTAATTCTGTCTGGTCTGTCTAATTTAGCCATGAAAAACCATGATCTTGGAGCTGGGCACAAGAACGTAGCAGATTTTTAAAAACAGCTTTTCTGAATAGAAAGATGGTAACTTATGGCAGCCTAACAAAAGATATTTTTTGGTTATTGTTTTGATGTAAAGCACTTAAAATCTTCTACCTCAATCCACTGACATTCTCATTTTAAGAGAAAGAAATGCATTTTTGCAAATGGCACATCAACAGACCTTGGGAAAATCGAGTTTGGAGAAAAAAAATTGAATTAATTTTGTTTCTCTAAGCGCTTTCCCATGTTTCAGATTTTGCACTGATAGATTGATGATATGATTTGCTTTAAAACCAGGTGGCCTCTTAGTTTCCATCTGTTGTGTCTATTGCTCTGTCTCTAGTGAGAAGCACTGCAGAGCTGTGCAGGCATCTGCACCCCGGAGAGGAACTGTGCCATCAGAGAGGCCCTGGGAGAGAGAATCCACTTTTACAGTGTCTGAAAGGGGAGAAACTCCAGCCCCCGGACCTTGTTTGTGTTCACCCAAATTGAATCCACTGAATGTCCATCAGCTTGGTGTAAACAGCTTTACACCAAAACCAAAAGGCAGTGACATTTCCAGAAGGAATAGTTCAAATCTTCCCAAACCACCTAAATATCCCGCAGTTTCTGGTCTCTCTGGATGCTGGAGGTGGCACTGCTTTCGCAAGAATGTTTTCCTAAAAGTAGGAGTTTTGACAGATAAAAGCCATTTGAGTAAAGACCTGCCATGATGTTTGGGGTTCTGCAAAACACAGAATGACTTTGGAGCTTGAAGTACGTGAGTGGAGTCTGCTGGAAAAAGTGACTTGTTTGAACCGAAATGTCTCGGCAGCAGGTTCCCCCCAGCTCTGGTGTGGGCGTAGGTGATGCAGTGAGTGGAGAGAGAGGCGGCAGCACTTCCCTGGAAGCTGCATGTTCGGGAACTGAACTCATCTTCAGGCACAGGGCGCGGACCGGGCCTTTCCTGCTGCTCCCGGGGAACGCACACAACAAACCCTCGGTGCTGCGGGGAAGGGCGTCACTGCGTCCCACTGTCTTCTCCAGACAGCTGCAGCACACCTGGAGGAATTTGGAAACACGGAGAGGCCCAGGCACGGGACACACGGGATGAAACCACAGCCCCATCCCGGGTGCCTGGAGTGATCCCAGCGAACAGCTTTCCCCATCCCTGCTGGGATCGGCTCCACGCTCATTGCTTGGGGCACTTCAAGCCGTCCGGCTTAGGGGACTGATTAAAAAAAAAAAAAAAAGGGCATTAGAAAGTGTTCTCTTTAACTGGCAGTGGGCTGGTGGAAATGGTTCCAGAGGTGCACTCGTGCACCGCTCCAGCTCTCGCTGGCGGTAGCGCCGAGCTGTGCCAGCGCGGGGAGTTCCCCGCGAACATCCTGGCAGAAGTTTGACAGAACTGACACTTGTCCAACCGGGACCGATCGCCCTCCTCCGCCGGGACCGCGGGGGAGCCTCGCTCCTTCGCTTGTGTTTAATCACGTTCGCTTTCAGGGTTGTGTGCGCTTGTAAAAAAACCTGTTGAATTTCAAACTGAAATTCAGCTCGCCCCGAGCACCAGCGCTGCAGCCGCAAAGCACAGCGGTTTGGATTCGGGGTTTTCCATGCGAAGCGCTGGATGGATGTGGGGCCGGACCCGTTCAGGCCGGTTCCCGCAGGAACTCGGCGGTGCCTCTCTCAGGCTGTCCGGCGGTGCGGCCCCGGCGGGAGCGGCTCGCGGGGAGCCCCGCGGGCACCGCGCCGGCCCTCGGGGCGGGGGAGACGCGGGGCAGCGCCGCGTTCCGGGGCAGGGAGCGCAGCGCGGCCGGGCCGGGCGGTGGGGCGGGAGGCGGCGGGGGGGGGCCGGGCCCCAGCGCCCCCCTTTCCCCCAATGCCCCCCCGTTCCCCCCGTTCCCCAGTGCCCCCCTGTCCCCCCGCGCTCAGGGTGCGGGGCCGGGTGCGGGGGGGGGGGGTGTCAGGTGGTGCCGAGCGCGCACGCGCCGCCCCGCGCGCGCCCCCCGCGCGGCCCCCGCCCGGCCTGCGTGGCAGCGGCGGCGCGCGCGCCCGGGCGGGCGGCGCGTGCGCGGGAGCGCGAGGCGGGCGCGCGCCGAGAAGTTCCGTGCGGGACGCGGCGCCGCTCGCTCGGTCCGGAGGGGTCCCGCACCCGGCACCGCCACCGCCCCGCACCGTGCGCCACCGCACCGCCACCGCACCGCCACCGCCCCGCCACCGCACCGCCACCGCCCCGCCACCGCTCCGCCACCGCACCGCCACCGCCCCGCCGGGCCGCAGGTGAGCGCGCGGGCCCCGCTCCGCCGGGCCGGGCTGAGCCGGGGCTGTGCCCGCCGCGGGCCCCGGCGCCGCGCGGCCCCTCCGGGCAGCCCCGGCCGGGCCGGGCCGCGGGGCCGGGTGCGGGTGGGCGGGGGAGGCCCGGGCGGGAGCGGGGGGCCCGGGCCGCGGGGCCCGCACGTGCCCGGGCGGCGGCGGGAAGGGCCGGGAACGGCCCCGCACCGCGCGGGTCGGCACCGCTCCCGCAGGACGGGGATCCGCCGGCCCGGCCGCTCGGGCAGAGTTAGGACCGCGATACGGACACGCGTGTTGGCGCGGGCCGGTGTCGCTCGGAGGCTTTGGGGAGGTTTGGGGGGTTGGTTCCATTTTAGCCGCTCCGAGCACACGCGCCCCGGCCGAGCCGTGCGCGGCCCCCGCCCCGCCGAGCTGCCCCCGCCGCCCGGCATGTGCCGGTCCCCGATTCGTGTCCTCGGGAGGACTCCGGGAGCTCCGGGGGCTGGCGGAGAGACCCGCGGGAGGCCTCGAGATCCTGCCCGGCTGCCTCTCGCAGGCGTTTCCTGAGCCCGCAGCTCCCGGCGGTCCCCTGGTCCCGTACCTGCTTCTGCCTCGAGAGATGGGAACTGCGGGGTGACCCCAGCGCTGCGGGGACTGCACGCATGGCTCCGGAGAGAGCACATGGTAGAGCTGAACTAGGAAATACCATCTTTTCCTCCCCCAACATGTGCCTCCCTCCAAAGTGTGATTTATGCTTGTTTGGAGTAGCGGTGGATCTCTGAGCCCATCTGTTTGTCTGCCTGTTCACACACATGGAATCTCTCTGCCTATGGTGATTGCCTATGGCGTTATTGCAGGAGAAGTAGTTTGATAGGAAATATTGTAGCAATTACAAGTCCAGTGATGCGAGTTCCTGACACATTGTGACTGCCTTGCTGTCAACTCTGTGTCTCCTTTAAAGTTCATTTTTGTGAATCACTGTAAGTAACCGCTTAACTTCTGCCGCGTTTCTGCAGCTTTTGCGTTTGAGTCGTCTCCTGACATTGCGTCAAACTCTTTCCACTGTTATTTTTTTCCTGTCGACGTTTTTTGTGACACTCGTATTCTGTTAAGCAACAACAAAAAAAGAAGGAACTCCTTTTAGATAAGGGTGTTGCTGCCCCTGTTTCCTCTGGCTCTGAGCCTTAGAGACCTAAAAAAAAGGGGCTGTGAGGAACTTTTGTTATGATGGAAAAAGAGCATTTTCTGTGGGAAGTGAGATTTCTAGACGGAGCGTGAGTGACTGCTGTCACCCCAAAGGAATTGTCAGAGCAGAGCCAACCTTTTGCTTTCCTAACACCTGTGATGTATAAGACGCTTCTGCTTGTTTCCTTTTCCCCTCCTTCCTCTGGAATTCTGTTTCTTGACAAATAGGTGTTTTATGAGAGAGAACAGACATAATTGGAATGTGAGTTTTAATGTACCTTTTCAAATTCTTCACTGTTCATTTTGTCGGGCAAAGAGCAGGTGAAGATGAATAACTTGGACTCCAGGCCCATACTGGGAAACAGGTTTTTTTGGTTGTACTTGCCTTCTGTGAGCCTGCCTGAAAAGTTTCGTGTCAATCTATGACACTGAAATGTACACTGAAAATGTTGAGCTTGCACTGGCTTTTCTCATTTCATGTAGTAATGGAGTCTGTACTGGAGAAAATAGGGGGAGGTGATTCTGAGATTTCTCCCGCCCTCTGCTTTTGGGCTTTATTCACTCCTACCTGTTGGCCTGAAGGCCTCTTGCAATGGCTTGAAAGAGTTTTTTGTGTACTGAATGAGCTGTTGCTTTCTCAGAGTAAAAAATACTGCCCATATTTTTGTTTGTATAGGGATAGGGGCCAGAAATACCCGTGTGGGTTTTCCTCCTACTCTGCCCTCTTAGCTGTAAAATGGGGTGGTTACCAGCAAGTCCCCCTCCTGTGCACCTGCAGCCTTCCAGATGTGTAAAAGACTAATTAGTGGATGTATTTTAACATCTTGTCCTCCTTTACACGGTGCCAAATATATTTAACCTCAAGGCTCTGAGAAGTGTATCACAACAGCCCAGCTGGCAGTACAGACCAGCCCCTGTGACTGCTGCAGCCACAGCTGGGGCAGGAGGGAGAAATCAAATGTGTTCAGACCGAATTTAAAGCAGGAAAATGGACTGTCCTGGAGGAGCAGAGGAAGATTTCACAAATGAAATTACAGAAGTGGGAACCAGTGAGACCTCTGGGGCTTGTAGGGCTTTTCCTCTGTCCTAAATGAAAGCCTGGTTGGGATCCAGTCCTTACGGAAAATGAATTTAACTGCCCAACTTGTGCTTCAGTTTTTGTCACTCTAATTTGCTTTTCTTAGATATTCTTGTTGCAGAAGAGGTTGTGATCTCATGGTGATCTCCAGTAAATGAGAACAGTAAGTGCATGGAACTTCATTTTACAAGTTGGGCTCATCTTCACCACTGAACAATCATCGTGTTTCTAATTGCAACTCCCACAGTTTTGCTACAACTCAACCCTTGTACAGACAGACAGTGCTCTTGGTTCTCTATGGTTTGAGCACAGAATCGTGATTGAGGAAGTCAAGAACAGCCATTCTGCCTGTGACACACACTCCTGCATTCGTGTGGTAAACTCACTCAACCAGTGTGTTTTACCTTTGGTGGGGGCACGGTGACTGACTCAGTGTACACCTCTCCAGGTGCTGGACTGTGCTGGGTGTGGCATTTGGCAAGAAAAGGATGACCCACTGTGGCCCTGGTTCCAGGACAGGCAGGAGGCTCACACGTGTCTGTGCTGCACTCCTGGACTGGACAGGACAGCCTTTCCCAGCACAAAACAGTTAAAGATTGTCTAAAATGGGCAGAATGAACACTTTGTCCTGTTGAAGGCCTTGAAAATAGCTCTTTCTGTTGCTAGATGGTGTTAACGCTGTGTTTATTGTACTCACCCTGCCTTTGCAAAGCTTTTAGTGGCAGCACATGGCAGTGCTCAGCAAGCTGGTGGGCGTTTGCGTTGGTAGGTCTGTGAGTGCAGCAGATAAGTGCAGTTTGTCTGGGGCTGAGCAGAACACACAGCTGGGGTGTCGGTGTCGGGCAGCCCCGGGACGGCCGAGCTCGCCCCACACACTGGGGGCTGTTCCCAAGCTGTGTCCTTGCCTTTCCCAGAGGGGACTGGCACACGGAGGGATCAGAGGCTGCTGCAGTGCAGGGCTGGGCTGTGTGCTGGGGGAACCTGCTGGACCCTTCCCTGCTGCTCTTGGGGCCGGGGAGTCTGTTGGCTGCAGAGCATGTTGGATGTGATGGCCTGGAATGGGTCCCTTCCACTCCACCACGTTCACTGTAGAGCTGTGTCTCCAAAGGGAAATGGGGAATAAGTACAGTCTCTAGGAGGCAGAAGAAGAGTGTGTTCAAACTGGGAGGTGATGTTGGTATTTTTCCTTTTGAAGAAAAAAACCCAGAAGCCAAAACATTTGCATGGAAAATCTAGATTTAGGTCTTCAGGACTTTAAAGTCACAGTGTTTTTTTCCCAGCAGACTGGAATTGCTGCAGTGTGTCTAAATTACGTAGAAAATGGAGGTGTATAAAATATTTTTTAAAAATTTCCTTGCAGGTTTGGGGATGTGTGTGTTCCTACAGCCAGGTTGGGAGCTGCTGTCTCTAGCTGGCTGAAATGTAGGACAGGGAGGACCCAGGAGGTTCTCTGTGTGGGACCAGGTGGCCGTTCTAGAGCTTGTAAGTGAAGTTTTGTTTAAAAACAGAAGAGCACAGGGAGTTATTTTTAATAGTGGATTGAGTGCAGAAGTCTGTAATGCTGTCAGATCCTTTTTGTGGGTAAATAGGTCTTTTTCTATCTTGGCTTATTTTTTATATGCATATTGGATTGGATCAAGATTACTTCGAGTCCTAACCTGTGCTAAGTATTTCAGCATCTGGACTCGCTGTGAGCACCGCTGCTGTCTGGGCAGGAGAAGTCTCTTGGATTGCTTTTTAACATTTTAAAATATTTCAGGAAAAAGTATATTTTTTTATTCAGTTAAAAAGTACATGGGGTTTCCAGTGTTTAGTCTTGTGGCATGGCTTATTACATGGCATGATGCAATAAATTGCAAATAGTTTTATGGTGTCAGTGCAATTAAAGAAATTAAATTTCTAAATTGTTTACTTCAGCTCGGTGCTACTTTAAGTGTCTGCTCTCAGAGATTCCAGGCAGTGAACAGCTGCCTGTCGCAGATGGGAGAGAAAAAAACCTTCCCCTTAGCTTCTTACTCCTAAAAAGGTTTCCATATAAACCCAGTAGTAATGTAATACAACCTTTTAGTCAAATTTGAGTTTCCCGTTACACTTTAAGTGAAGCGACAGCGGAGTGGGATCTATTTGAAACCCGGTGGTGTAAGTGAATGCGACTCGAGGAATTTCGGGCTCCAAAGCATTCTTGAAAGCTCACAGATGCTTGGTGAGCAGGCAGAAGGCATTATTTATTGCATCTCAAAAGAAAAAACGCCTTGCAGGTAGTGCAGGACTCCTTGTTGTGTGCTGTGTTTTGGGAAGGTCGGGTGGTGTTGTCTGTCCTGTGCTTGTACTGTGTTTTACCCAAGGAAATCAGGTAGTTCAGAAGCTATCAAGGAAACAAGCAGCAAATCCACATCTTTAATGGAGTCCAGGTGCAATGAAGTCTGAAAAAGAGCAGGTTTGGGGCTGAGTGTTTTCTGCTGAGATCTCAATATGGCAGGAGTGGAGCTTGTGCACAGAACTGCACAAAGTTAAGTGTGAGATTGTGAATTAGATGTGCTGATTTATTGCTCCATGAGCTAATTCACCATGACAATTATAAAACTTATTAAAACAGTTATGACATGCCTGATCACAAAGTGCAGGAGTGGTAAGATCGCTCTTTCTAAATGAAAAAGTTGTTGCTGCTGGCATCCAGCTTTTCCCCTTATGGTGGTTTCCTATCTTTTTTTTTAACCCCTCTGGACTATTAACAGGCATTTTACAG